TGAAAGTGTTACAGTAGTTATTGTGTTCTTTACTGTCATGCAGTTGTAGTTTAAAAAAAAAACAAATTCCTATTTGCCCTTAAGAATATCCTTGATGGGGCTGGCCCGGTGGTGCACTCGGTAGAGTGCGGCGCTTGGGAGTGCCGCGGCGCTCCCGCCAAGGGTTCGGATTCCATATAGAGACCGGTCAGCTCACTGGTTGAGCGCAGTGCGGGCGCGACACTGAGGGTTGCAGTCCCATTGCCAGTTGGTGCGGGTGCGACACTGAGGGTTGTGATCCCGTTACTGGTCACGAAAAAAGACAAAAAGGAAAAAAAAAAAAGAATATCCTTGATGAAGCATTAAAAATTATTAATATATTTACATCTTGACCTTTTAGTACACATCTTTTTAAATGTGGGTGACAAAATGTAAAGTACACATAAACTACACCAAAATACCATGATGTCTCAAGGAAAAGCACTTGTGTAGTCATTTGAGTTGCAGGCTGAACTACCCCCTTTTTCATGGAATACCATTTTTATTTGAAAGAATGACTGTGGTTATTCAGGCTTGAGTATTGGCAGACATTTTTTGAAAATGAACAAAGTGAGCATGTCACTTTAAGGAAAATAACTGACAATATTTGTTGCCAAAGATAAAATTTGAGTTTTCAAGTGAAAATTAAAATTTTGGAAAATTTTTATCTGTCTCCAGGATCTTGATAGCTTCCCAATACTTAAAGACTGTTCTAATGCTTTCAGTGGTAATATCAACAAATGCGATTTTTTGATGTTGAGTAATGTGTAAATAAGCAGAAGATCTGCATGAGGGAGTGAACCAATGTTTTCCAGCTTACCAGTACATGATGTTACAAACCCATACATGGGGAAAAGATGCATTCAAAGTGTAAGATAGACCAATGGATTTTAATGTAATAGAGCATGAAAGATTCATTGATACAGTTTCAGATTCTATAATGTAGCCTTTAAGGAACAATTACTTGTAAAATATCTACATTTTCTGAAAAGGCTGTTTAACTAGTCCTCTTTTTGAATTACCTATCTGTGTGAGGCTGGATTTTCTTTATTTACTTCATCCAAAACAACAAATTGCAACAGATTGAGACAGGTTAAGAGGGTAGATTAGAGGATGATGAACTAGACAAGAACTGGCCTATATCATACTCACGCAGATTCCACTGACCATTACTCAGTAATGTGACATCAAAGGATGCAAGGGGACTGACTGGTTAATGTCTCTGGCTAGAAAGCTACAGTTCTGCCCTTTGGAAGACGATCAGGAATCTTTGGAGGACAGTTTTAGCCTTGCTGAGAAGGTGACATTTGATTAAAGTCCTTAAGGAAACAAAGTAGCAAATCTTGCCAACATCTGTGTGAAGGGTGTCAGAGACTGAATGAATAGCCAGTGCAAGGGCTCTGTGGCTGAAGTGGGGTGATGAGGGGATGGTAGAAACCAGTAGAAGGTAAGGTCAGAGAGGATGGGGGCAGTTTATGTTTGGTCTTGTATACTACTCCAAGGATTTAGGCTTTACCAAGAGTAAGATGAGAAGTCATTGAACGGTTGTGAACAGAAGACTGTCAGGACTTACTTAAACTCTTACAATTCCTGTGGTTGCTGGGTTGAATATACAATGCCAAGAGCAGGGGTAGGAGACCATTGAATCAATCCAACTGAAAAATGATGGTGGCTTGTACCAGGAGATAATGATGGAGATGTTGAGAAGATATAGTTTTCTGGATATATTTTAGAGAATGAGCTGATAAAAGTTGCTGAAGGATTGGCTGTAGGGCTGAGAGAAACAGGTATCAACTCTTCTACTTTTTGGCCTTGAGCCACTCGAGAGCCATTTACTGAAATAAAATGTGTTGGCAGCAGATACTCAGTAATAAAACTTGTTTCATTTTTGATGGACCAGTTTCTAGTAGAATCACGTTTTGTCAATTTTCCTTTATTTAATAAAATTTTCTTTTAATAGTTATTTTCTTTTGGTCACTTTCTAGTAGAATTACATTTTAAAATCTTTTGTTTAATAAAATTTTCTTTTAAACCAAAATATATATTCTGTTTTATGTGTAAATTTTAATGTTAAGAATTTTCTATCTAAATGTTTTTGAATTTTACTCTGCCATTCTACCTTTGATTCTTAAAATTTTTATTTTAAGGTACTAGAGAAGGACAAACTCGTCTAATCAGAGATGGGGAGAAAGTCGAAGCCTATCAGTGGAGTGTTAGTGAAGGGAGGTGGATAAAAATTGGTGATGTTGTTGGCTCATCTGGTGCTAATCAGCAAACATCTGGAAAAGTTTTATATGAAGGGAAAGTATGTTGACTTCTTTCTAATTACCATTATCTTAAATCATTAGGCAAATTAAATCTTTTCCTCATGCTGATAAAATTTTCTTTGGTTTTTTTGACATTTAAAAATACATTACTGTGGGAAAATTATATTTTTTTCCTTTCTTGAAATGGGCTTAAAAAAAAAATCTTTTCATATAGAGGGAGCTGCATTTGATAGACAAATTAGCTATTATCTGTCTTTTAGGGAGTTCCCATTCATATATTGTTCCTAATCATTTTGGATTAGGAGCCTCTGTGCCACCTTTTATCTAAAGCCTCATGCCTGGCTATATTTAACTTGACATGACATGAGCAATCCTGCAGGGCATTGCCTATAATACCAGCATATTTTGGTGAGTAGGGCATGGTAACAGCTGATGTTTTTGGCTGATCCTTTTTGAGATCAACCAGTTGGAAACCCTCCTTTGTACTTAGAATTAATGTGTAGTTGTAATCCATCCCCATCCCTACCCTCATTCTCAGTAAAATAGTAATCTTGCAGCACATGAAGATGGTTGCTATTAATCTTATCTGCCAAAGAGGAAGATTTTTGCATTGCATTTTGGAGAAAGTTTAAGTACTATAATTATTAAAATAAAGAACACATAACACCTGTGTTATGTTACATATGTCATTAATATATATGAACAGATGGTAATCATTTATCTCCTTTATATTTCTGTTATAGGAATTTGATTATGTTTTCTCAATTGACGTCAATGAAGGTGGACCATCATATAAATTGCCGTATAATACCAGTGATGATCCCTGGTTAACTGCATACAACTTCTTGCAGAAGAATGATTTGAATCCCATGTTTTTGGATCAAGTGGCTAAATTTATTATTGATAACACAAAAGGTCAAATGTTGGGACTTGGGAACACCAGTTTTTCAGATCCATTTACAGGTAAGTTAGGATTTGTATTAAATCTTATGTACTTTTATCAGTATTGGTTGATTTTTTTGATGTGTTTAAAACTCATTATGATTAGCTGTTTAAATAAAAACCAAGATCTACAGCAGGCTTTTACTTCACATTCATATTTTTAAGTCTCAAATTATATAATAATTCTGTATTTTATAGAAACAATTTTAAATTGTTGTCTTTCAAAAATACAGCCACACTAAACTAAATAAAATTAAGAAAATTTAATTTAATCATTTGAAATAAAAAGAAACTTGAAAGTTTCTTAGTATATTTTCTCTTTAAAAATACATTGTGGTGAAATTTAGTAAAAAGAAATTCTGTTTTCAAATGAGGCTGAATTGGTTAGTTGTGCATCATATCTAGGACTGAATTATGGGTAGTTTTAGTTTATATGTGATTTGTATTACACATGTTCATTTTAAGTTGTTTGTAATATAGTATGCAGTATCTAAAATGTTATAAATGGGGTTAGGTGCTCATGCCCATCTGTAAGTTTTTATCCTAGTAGTATTAGTCTGAATTCTGGCTCCTAGGAAGTAGATTATCATCTTAGTAGTATTAGCCTGACTTCTGGATCGTGGGAACTGAGGTACAGGAGGAAATAAAATGCCTCCTCTTTTTGTAGGTACAGGGCCAACTCTACATAAAATTTTGAAATAGGCACCTTATTGTTAATGTTTTCCTGTTGTCTTTCTGACTCCATTTTTTATGTGCTAGTGTTCTTCCTTGTCCTACAAGAACTTCATATCCTCTCCTGTCTCAAATCCTTACATAGATCTGCTTTTTCTTTCCTCAGAGATACTTCATGTTCCCAAATCATCTCCTCTCCTCCTACTTCAAAATTCTGTTGCCCGTTCAAGTAATAAAGCTAACCTCACCTGATGCTGACTTAAAACAAAATTATTAAAGTAACTCAGTACTGAATTATAAATGTTGTAACCCTCCAAATACTTACACTTAACAAAAAAAGAAAAAAATTAGGTGCTTAGTACCTGAATATTTCTGTGGAGTTTCAGACTTCAGTAAAAAGAGTGAGCCCACATCATAGAGCTGTATTGTGGGGCACAGAACAGGTATTAAAGCAGCTGCTCCTTCTGGAAATCTAGCAACTACTTGGCTTGTTTTGCTCTTCAAAGACTCTAACTTTATAAGCATTCTTACATATCTTTTTGTGGACAACCTGATTATTTCCCTAGAGGTATTGATAAAACAAATTCACACACATTTGTAAACATAAGTGGAAATCTGTTTCCTTTGTAGCACTCATCTCTTTTCTCCAGGAGATTGTAAGCTTAAGTGGATATAAGTGATTTTCTTCCCGGCTGGATCCCCAGCACTGGGTATACTGTTTGGCACATGAATTAATGAAACCAGGGCTTCTCTAAAAGGTTAAGATTTAATGCCTGTGGGTTTTTTTTTTTTTTTCATGACCGGCAACAGATCGCAACCCTCAGTGTCGCGCCCGTACCGGACCGGGACCGGCAACGGGATCACATCCCTCGGTGTTGCGCCCGCACCTCGCTCAGCCAGTGAGCGGCCGGTCTGTATGTGGGATCTGAACCCTCCGCGGGAGCGCCGCCGCGCTCCCAAGTGGCGCACTGTAGCAGTGCGCCACTGGGCTGGCCCTTAATGCCTGTGGTTTTGATAGCATGAGCAACAGCAGGAATTGCAGTGAATTCAGATAGGAACAGGGACAGAAATTGATTGTATGTGTATTTTACTTAGGTCAGAGATCACCTGCAATTTTTTTTTTTTTGAGTTTTGTTATTTTAATACTTAAGTGCTGGAGCTAAGATATAATAAAGTATTAAAGTGAAGAAAACAAAATTTAGAGAATCATTGAAATTTTAGTTTCTTCTCAACTGTAAGAGTTTTGACTATATTTCTGTCATCCTGTCATGTGACAGCCTTGCTCCTCTGTTTTTCTCTGAGTTTAGGTTCTTCTAATTGTGCTGTTTATAAAATTTAAAATTTTGGTGTACTTCAGTTCTCTTTTGTTTTACATGAACAGGTGGTGGTCGGTATGTTCCAGGCTCTTCTGGATCTTCTAACATACTGCCTACAGCTGATCCTTTTACAGGTGGGAGGCAGTTTTGATTATTATATCTTTCTTCACTAAATATTTAGTATTTTGCATGGTTTTAAATTTTGGAGATGTCATCTAGTAACTGATAATTCCCTTATCTATATCTCCAATTTTGATGGATCTCCTTTTCTTTAACTTCTGATTGTTTCTTTTTCTGGAGTACTTTTGTAAATTTTCTCATGACTTCTAAATAGCATATTATTAGAGTTCATCATTTTCTCCAGTGGTCCTTCCTGCCAGGAGAGCAGAGTAGTTAAAAACATAGGTTTTAGAGTCAAACAGACCTTAGTTCAAAATGTGGCTCCACCACTTACTTGCTATGAAGAAGTTGGCAAGTTACTTAACCTGTCTGAGCCTATTTTTTTTATCTGTGAAATTAGATAATAGGGGAACCCACCAAACAAGACACAGCATGAATGCTCTCACTGGCGAGATGCTACCAATCACAAGCAGAGAAGGAGCCATGTGAGTCCCTGATATTGGATGGAGCAGTGCAATCAAGATGTCTGCCCAGGCATATTTTGACTTAGCATGGAAGGAGACATTCCACTCAGCTACCCAGAATTAGTCTTCCTAATCTCAGTTATAAATGGCCTTCTTGAAGCTCTTGAAGTGTCGGTGTATATCTTCGGAGTAAAATTATTTACCAAGGTACGCGTGCCTCAACATCAACACTACTGGAAAAAAATTGCCAGAGTTGGACTTTAATGCAGCTGAAGAAGTCTCTATTTTCAGAATGGCTTTTGATATCTTTTGTGATGATGTCATTGGATCTTCAGCCAGAGTTCCTGAATGATATACCCAATTTGGGAAGAGATTCATAGCCTTTATGGTATCCACTGGCTTTGCAGACTTAGTATTGTGATCTGTAAAAATGAAAACCTGCAATCCTCTCTCAGCCATAGATTGGACCAATACCCAACCTTAGGTCAGTGTCACGAAGTTGTAAATTGCTCTTGGTGAGCTTCCTTTCTCCCGTGAATGAATTGGTGGCCCAGATGCTAATGGTTGCACCCTGTGCATTGGTAACCAGCATACTAAAATAACGAACTATCAAGCTAAATGCTGTGATGGTAAAATGGCTGTTAAGGAAGTCTTTGATGGCATATGTGATTTCAAATGGTAGTAAGGATCTGAAGAGTAGATAAGATGATGACTTTTTCTTTATCAGCAGTTGAGGAACAGTGATGCTCTGAAACTTACACCAACAGAGTTCCTGAATCTCATTGGAGGATTTTTTGTGGAACAGAAAGAACATACCAAGCTTCAACCAATACCAGCAAAATGAAGAGAACTCCTGGAGCCATCATAATTAGAGCATGTCTCACTGTTGCACAATGTCAATAACTCAGAAGTTGCAATGATTATGTAGATATGCAAGATAGCATACTAAATGTCCAAGAGAATTATGGTATTATTAGGATAACTGAACTATACTTTTATTAAAAAAAAAAATTAACAGCATCTATCATATTGAAATATGAAAATTAAATGGCATAATACATGGGAAGTATTTAGCAAAATGCCAGGAATATATTTAAGCCGTCATTATACAAGAGTCCTTCAAAAAGTTTGTGGAAAAATAGAATTAAAAGATAATAGAAGTCTTTCCATGAACTTTTGGAAGACCCCTTGTATGTTAGGTACTATTGTTTTTGATGTTGTTCTCCCAGCTTTACCAGCACTGGGTCCAAAAGATTTCTGGCTTACAACTTGAGGTTAATATTAATTCTTTTTCTTCTCATTATTAATTTATACAGTTCTCAAACTTCTAATGTCCGTTAGAATTATCTGGGAAGTTTATTTAAATTATTTATCCCAAGGTTTTACCCCAGAGATTCTGATTCACAAGATTAGTGAGGAAGTTAAAAATACTCATGCCCTGATTCACATCCAGGGATTCTGATTAAATAGTCTTGGATATGGTTTGCTCTTAGATATTTTTAAAAGTTCCCCATGTGAGGGCCGGCCCGGTGGCGCACTGCTACAGTGGGCCACTTGGGAGCGCAGCAGCGCTCCCGCCGAGGGTTCAGATCCCACATACAGACCGGTTCCCGCTCACTGGCTGAGCGAGGTGCGGGCGCAACACCGAGGTTTGTGATCCCGTTGCTGGTCCCGGTCCGGTACGGGCGCGACACTGAGGGTTGCGATCCGTTGCCGGACACGAAAAAAGACAAAAAGGAAAAAAAAAAAAAAGTTCCCCATGTGATTCTAAAGTAGATCCAATTTGGAGTAACATTAGGTTGTAAGTAGACTCTGGGAATCTGCCTACTGAATAGGTGACAGTCATTCAAGTGGTCAGAGAGTCACATTTAGAAAAGTTTAGTACTGCTCTCTGCCTCTTAATAGCTTAGTGCCTTGGGCAAGTATTTTAACATTCCTCTTTTAAAACATTGTGAATTATAATTGTATCTAACTAATAATTTAATGAGTATGTGCATATAAAATGCTTAGCATGGCGGTTAGCATATAACTCAACAAATCTACTTATTTTGTGTTCTTCATTATTTTAATCTTATTTATCTATTTTATTTTTGTTTTTTAGTTTTGTTTGTCTTTTCTGTATGTGTTGGTACTGGTTATACCAACTCCTAGATTATAAACTCAGAGAGCCTAGAACAATAGCTTACCTTTCTCCTTCCCATGAAGGCTGATTCAGGGGTCTGAACAACTCCAAGTCCTACTGATTCTCTCTTTACACTTATTTTTTGTTTCTTTCCATTTTCAGTATGACAGCCACAAGTATAATCTCAAATGTGACTGGTCTGTTGTCATGCCATCCCTAACTCTTTCCTAAGTCTTTTCCGATTGTCTTATGTGCTAGCTAGTCCTATCCCTTTGCTTAAATAGAATATAATTCACATTTCATCCTGGAAATCTTTTCTTTCTCTCCAATCCACTTATGTTTTTGTAATTCACTAAACTTCATCTAATGTTTACTTTGTATCTTGAGAATTACTTTTTTAGCTAACATTTATTGGGTACTTACCACATGCCAGGCACTGTTACAAGCATTTTTCTGTATTAAATTTATAGCACGTTTATTATGTATATAAAGATGCCATTCTGAAGTGTGACTACTAATGAAAATAAGTTATTCTGTGTAAAGAAGGAGCAGTTGGAACTTTATAATTTGCAGTTCCCTATGCTTACTAGGAGTATTATTGCATTGTAGGTGCTGGTCGTTATGTGCCAGGTTCTGCAAGTATGGGAGCTACCATGGCTGGAGTTGATCCATTTACAGGTACATAGTTTTCATTTCTTTCTTTTTTTTTAGGTTTCAAAAAATCATTGAAATTTTTATTTAATGAAAAGAGTAAGAAGATTTGTGTCATTTCCTTGCTGGAGGACTTTTTATGTAGTAAATCAAGACCAAACTTCTTGGCTTGGATTTTAGAGTTTTCTCAGAATTGTCTCATTACTACCCATTGGAATCATCTGGGTAGCTTAAAAAAAGTACACCAGCTTCATCCCCAGAGATGTTCACTGGGTCTAATATTGCTCTGGGTCAAGGCCTTGGCAAGTGTAGTTTTATAATCTTCTTTTTTTTTTTTTTTTTTGTCTTTTTCCATGTCCGGCAACGGATCGCAACCCTCAGTG